ACGCTCAGTTTTTTGAAAAAACTGTTTATTTTATTTTGTCTACCATTACACTACTCAACTGTTTAAAAAATAAAACAGGATGTTCTATTCAAATTAAATACGAGTATAAAATGTTTAAACTTTAAAGTAATAAAACTATGTCGGATTAAAAATAAAAATTCATTAATTCTTTAGAAATTACTCTTTCTTTATCAGATAAAGTTTGCCTACATAGTACATATGGACATTTGAAGAAATGTACTGTAGTGCTTATTATTTTAATTTTAGACACAAAAGCACAAAATCTGCAGTTTTATAACTAGATAATGTTAAAGAAAAATATGAGGTAAATAAAAAATTAATTAATCCTTGAATAATTCGTTTGTAATAACGGACAGCCTTAAAAGCGGCAACTGTTAAAAAAAAAAGTAATAGACGAGTAAAAAAAGTTATTTGTCAGTAGGACATTTACCAACCTAACATAAATTATTCAAATGTTATTTTAGCCAATCTCCCACGGAGACATTTCCCAGTTTCTCGACGTTTTCCCAGCGTTTTTTTTTTTATTATTTGTTTGTTTGTAACTTTTTTTAAATTTTTTTTATTGTGGTTCGCGTATTTTTGGTTCTCTAGAATTGTAGCAAAGTCATTTGCTAAAAGTTCCGTCTCATACAAACAACGTTTATAATTTAAATTTAAGTGATGTTTAGTTTATTCAAGAAAATATCTATAAAAGTCCACATTCTCAGAGCAAATGTTAAACTACCGTTTTGTGTCCTGTTTAAAAAAAGTACATGTCCACGATGGAAATCTGCGATTTTGTCTCCACTCAGGACTGAGAGGCCACTTAAAAACGCGTGTCGAAACATAAACCGATAAACGACACTCCAGTGTCATGTCCCTTGTAGCTCTTTACTTAAAAAATGTTTTCTTTTTGCTATATCTCTTCTTAAACCCTATTCTGCAACCATTTACAAGCTCTTTTAGGTTGGTTTTTTTTTTCACTGTTTTCCTCTGTCCGTCTTTCCTTCATTATGTCCTGTGAATATCAAATTTTCTAAGCCGCCTTTCCTCATTATTCGCCCCAGAAATTTCAACTATCTCTTTCTGGTGTTAAATATAAGTGTTCTTTTATGTTTCCATTTTTTTCTAAATATTTGTCGTTTCTCACGTTCAGTCCGTGGTATTCTCAACATCCTCCTGTAGAACCACATTTCTGTTGCTTCAAGTCGCTTCTTCATCTGTGAGGAGATTGTCCAGTATCCACTGCCATATTGGAGGACTACTATCACGTAGCACTCTATTCTTTGTTTCTAACGAAATTTTCCTGTTTCTTAATACTTTAGTTTTGGGGAATGTGCCTTCATGTTTCCGTCCTCTGTTAAAACACCTCCCAGATATCTAAATTGCTGTACTTTAAACATCAATTACAAGAAGACGGGATGCATGGTTGTTAGCAAACGGAACAGTTCAATATGCAGATTACTAGTTGGAGATACCAAAATCAAAGAAGTTTAGAGGACCGTGAGTATGTGAAAAATACACGAGAGTTAAAATTTCCTGCTAGCCGGTCCAACTACATGAGAAAGTTGGACTTTAAGTCCAAAGAAAACAAACAAGACCGATAAATATATGTAAACAAATATATGTATTAATAACAAGTTAAAGGTTACAAGCACATGGACAGTTACATGGACAGAGTACGTGTGGTGAATATTATGTGTGTGTTGTGGTGAGTGTTCGTACGTACGTGTATTGTTCTTAGTGTGTTCCCAGAATTTGGGAAACGCTGTATCTGTGAGAGCTCACATCTGCGAGGTGGCATAAGGCCGAAGGCCTGAGGAAGAAACAGATCGAGGCGAAGGTCAGCCAGTATTTATAGCCAGGGGAGAGAGACCCCTGGTGAAGGGTTAAGGAGCTAACTCCGACAGAAGCACTAAACTACCTCAGTCAGTTATGTGCCATGCGTAATACATGCTTAGAGAATCATGTATCTTTCGATACATGACGAATGGGGCAGATTTTTTTTCCCGCAGTAGGCTGACATTTCTTTCTGCGGTAGACCAGTTACCCATAGCTGGGGAGGGGGGAGAAGAAGAGGATTCATACCTTTCCCAAGGGTACGTAAGTGAATGTAATGGATTCCACTGGAATTCGAACTCAGCTCACCGATTCCTCAATCCGAGCCGCTATCCATTACTCCACTTGAAATTTTCTATAAAGACTTGTTTTACATTAGTTCTAAATAGAGTTTTTATTTCTCTTATTCTAAAAGATATTATATATATAATTTTTAACTATATTTTTATTTAATTTTTACCGCCGATTTTGACCATGTAGCGTACTCATAAAAAAAAAACTCTCAAGATTACTACAGAAATTCACTACGGTCTTTAGTTTCCAAAAAAGAGGACGCTGGACACTTAATATTTATTATGTTAGCACAAGAAATTTCCCTTTAAACAAATCATATTTTCCACTCAAAATATAAATAAAAAGTAAAGAAATTATTAACGAACTACATTCCTTGGTTCCGCCAAATTCTAACCTTCACGGCTAGGACCCACCATGCCACTTACGTAGTAGTATACCACCCACATTTCCTCCGTATTCCATCAGTGATAAGTAAGTTCCACTCGAACAGCTTCTTCCCGCGAACCACTGCTCTGTGGAACCGACTCCCAAGTGGATGTTTCCACGATCACTACAATCTTAACCTGTTCAAGTCTAGACTTAACCGTTATCTTCCCCCTCCTATCCATATAAACTATCACTTAACGTAACCCTCTACCTTAAGTGCCCCTCCTCCCAGACCTTGTACAGGGTGAACCTTCTGTGTAAAAAAAAAAAAAAAAAAAAAAACTCTTTCACGTGAAGTATACGGCATTTTGTATAAACTTTTTATTTCATAGGAAAGTGATTACGAACATGTTGGCCAAATTTAATAAAATTTTGAAATCGAAATCCACTTTAAAATTAAAACTGAATTAGTAGAAAAGTAAAAGTTTTCAAGGAACTTAGAACCTAAGAATATACTAAATTGCAGTTTTCAAGATAATATAACGAAGATTTTAGAAGACTTTTAAAATGAAAAAGAAACGCAAGTTTAATCAGAGTAGAATAACCAATCAGAGACGTCGCGTCAAAATGTATAAAGCTATAAATACTAAAATTCGTTGAAGATTGCCTTCTTTGTTCTCTTTCTACTTTTTACAAAGAACCAAAGCCGGCTTTATGCTGTCACCGGCTTCCGTACATAAAACAATGAGTATTTACCAATTGCCCAACTTGTATAGACATTGCGCCGGTTCTCACACGCACGTATTCTAACTTTTACGTCCTTTGTCTTGTCCATAAAGTAATACCTAAATAAAAAAAAAATAATTATAACAATTATAATTTTCATTAACTTACTCTTCCTATATCAATGAGAATCAACCCCACTTTTCTCCTCTACAGGCACGAACACGTAACATTCTCACTGTTGGACAGACAGTCAACACGGACAGACCGTTAACACGTACGTCAACGAACATTTCGGCTCATTTTCCTTTCTTAAGCTATAGTAGTAAAACGTATCGTTTAGCACTTAACAATTCGAAGTAAGAAAACCCCAGACACATTTTGTATTTTCCAGCTAAATTATCTGGACAGTTATTACACTCATCTATAAAAAAAAAGACATACGAGAAAGATTGTACACCATTTACTTATTCTTAATCTTATTCTTCTGTCTGATTCCGATCCATATTTGATCTACATTTGACCCCAGATTCACAATTTTACTCAATATTACTGTCTCTTGTCTCTCCAACACCACATAACAACCAGATAATAAATAATACTCGTTTTGTTGTTTCGACATCTTGCTGTTTCTCATTTTTACGATTATTTTTGGAAATATAAATGTTAGGGGACAGTTATAATTATTTACTCAGAGTCATAACTTCCCAACACCTTCAAGTATTCCTCTTTCACATTTTCTTTTAAATATATCGCATATTTTTGTGATGAATTTTAAATACATTTTTTAGCCAGTCGGGTTTGTTGCAATCACTTACGCGCAAATAACCCTGAGAAAGGTAGGAATCCATCTTTTTTTTTCCACCTTCCTCAGCTTTAGGTTGAATAGCACGACAAACTGGGTCCTATAGCCTTGGTTGGAAACTATTGTACCGCAGAAAGAAACGGCAACCTACTGTGGGAATGTCTTCTGCTTAGTCAGTAATGAATCGAAAGAGACACGATCGCCTTAGCGTGTATCACCATTGACATTTAAAACTGACGGACTGAATAAATCGAAATACAAAAAAAAAAAAACACGAATGTGGACGAAGTTATTGTGAATAAATTAAAGTTCGTAAAAGAGAAGAAAAGATTAAAATGAAATAAAAGTCTTTCTATGTGCTGGAATCCTAGTCAGTTTGTATAATGAGTGATATATATCCATACATCTATAAGAGGGGGAGGAGGCAGTAAAATGTCTGTTTCTCTTTGAGGGTCAGCGTATCTGGGTAAGTTGGGCAGTACGGAATGGCATTTATTTGATTATCAATAAGCAATAGAGCAATCCCCCCAAAGTGAGGACGGCTACTGACTTCCATTTGCCGATTTCGGCTTTTTATCCTTTCTCGGAGGCTCGAGATTAAGGGTCCTGAGAAATTTGACCAATATGTTTGGTCCGTTCTAAGTCATTCTAATCACGTGTGGTGTTTACACATATGCCCGCAGCTGGTTTGGTTGTTTTTTTGTTTAGCGGCATATCAACCTCTATGAGTTATTTAATGCGAAAATCTAAATATTTTGTAAGCATTGCTGTTTTATTTTATTTTTTGGTGATAATAATGGTTTTAGTGATGCTAGTTTTACTATTTAACCCATAATTAGGGAGATAAGAGGTGGATTCATACCTTTCCCAAGAGTATTGGCGCAAAAATGAATATAACATATTCAACTGGAACTCAGCTATCCGATTAACAATTTCGAGCCATCATCCGTTACACCACCCACACATCCAAGCTTACAGAATCTGATATCCCCAAGCGGTCACCCATCTAGATACTGACCAAACTCGAAATTGCTTAACTTCGGTGATCGTAGGGGAACCGGTGTTTCGACGTGATGTGGCCGTAAGACCGCTCTAGGTGGAAAGAATTCCTGTGTCTCTTGGCGTATGTAGCGATTCTCTCTTTGACGCTGTGTGTCGGTTCATTTTTAGTATTTTAATTCTTGTATAAATTCAGTGAGATTGGTAAAAAAAACAAAAAAAAACAACAAAAAAAAACCAGAAATAATCACGTGATCTGTTCACCAATGCATGCTGTTAAGGATCATAGATGTTATTTATAACATGGGCTTTATACACTTAACTAGCAGTATAAACCGTCTTCGACCAGGTATTACTGGGAATTTTTGCCGTTCAATTGGAGCAATTTAAGTTTAAAGTCAGCCCCCAAAAAGATTAAAGATTTTCGATTTTTCACTTTCAAGGTTGCAATTTTTTTCCAGCCAATTTGGACTCAAGACCGGCACTGAAGAATTATCTATCAAACAAAAAAAAAATCCATCAAAATCGGATGAAAACTGTGGAAACGCATAAATAATATCTGATCACACACACACACACACACACACACACATACACACACACATTTTGAGAATTATAGATATAGATAATATTATTGTAATTACTTAAACTATTTATTTTTATTAAAGTTTTTATGAAAGATATATATCCAAGAACAGACAGTAAAAAAACTTTGCTGAGAGTTATAAAAGACAGGAAGTAGAGGAGAGTCATTGTCGCCAACAATTTGAACTCAAAACCGGTACTGAAGAATTATCTATCAAACAAAAAATATTTAATCGAAATCGGATGAAAACTATGGGAACGCATAAACAACATCCGATCACACACACATTATGAGAATTATAGATGTATAGAGAAGCAGTAAAGTGACAGCTTCAAAATGACTTATATAGATATACATTGAAAGAAAGCTTAATCTGCACCAGTAGAGTAACGTTTAACGGCGCGAAAAGTAAAATCGGAAGGCTGAGTTCAAGTTTCCCACTGATGCCCTTGAGAAAGGCATGAATCCATCTTTTCTCCCCCAAGTAGATTGTGCACTCAGTTTAGAAGAAGGAGAAAACTGTAGAGAAAACAACAGGAAATCACTCCCCTATATTTCCTAGTGATTAAGGCAATGTACAGATAATGAAAAAAAGAATCTGTTGAGACCCAGGATCGCCTACATCCTGAACGTACATAGTATTAAAAAAAAAGTTTGCCGCAATGTCACATTAGTTGGGCACGCTGTAAGTACTGAATTCATCCAGTGATACTACAGTAAACCCTTAAGATATAGCTTAATACGATTCTCTTATACACACACACACACACACACACACACACACATATATATATATATATATATATATATATATATATATATATATATATATATATATATATATGTTAAAAGATTTTTGGACTAAGTTTGTTCTTTATAGATACAAATATTTAAGCAAATGCTCTGTTTATGATAAACAGTATTAAATAACATTTACCGGCCTGAATGTCCGAGAAATTTTCATTTTTCCTGTCAAAGAACGAATATTTTCTATGAAAATCTCTCGGACATTCAGGCCGGTAAATGTTATTTAATACTGTTTATCATAAACAGAGCATTTGCTTAAATACTTGTATCTATAAAATAACAACGTTAAACATAAAAAAAATGTCTTTAATAAATATATATATATATATATATATAGGTTTGTCACTTAGCTGATTGATGTTATCTTCAGCATCCAGACTCCAGAGTTTCGTAGACGGAGCAGTCCGTCCACTCGTCAAGGGGTATCAACAATTGACTGCTTATACTTCTCGGTTTTTCTTTTTTATGCTCTTATCATTGGTTTAAGTTTTTGTTCCTAGTGTGTGTGTTTGCGTGTGTACCTTAGCGCGGATGTCTGTACTTGTAGGGTGTCATGAAATTGTGTATTTGAGTAGCAATCCCTTTTTTTAAATAGAAATTTAATTAAAAAACGACAGACAAGATATTGCGGTTAAATTTTTTATTTAATTTTTCTTGTGTTCTTATACGTTCTGGGTATGACGATAATAAACTACATCCGCGTCCTGGGTAAGACGATAAACTACGTTTAACAGCAAGGAGGTTTTGAGGAGCGTGGAACCAACTCTTAATTTCTGGTGTGTCCCAGGTCCACCCTGACCCGGGCTGGTAGCACCTGTTAGGGTCCCAGCTATGGGTATATAGTTAATCCCCAAACTGGGATCAAAACACTATGAATGTGTAAAAATAGGTTTTATTACCAGAAATACTTTATAAAAAAATATTACCAGCTATACATTTTTGAAAAAAAAAAATATTACCAGATGTCCATTTTTGAAAAAAAAAAAAAATTACCAGCTATACATTTAAAAAAAAAAAAAACAGCAATACATTTTTGAAAAAAAAAAAAAATTATCAGCAATAAAAATATTGTCGGTATTAAATAATCCATTGAGGTTGATATGCCGTAAAACGAAACACACCAAACCAAAACTTGTGTTCTTATAATTTTCTTCTTTTCTGGAAATAAATTATGTAGAAATTGTCCGTTGATACAACAAATATAATAGCCTCATCCACATGTAATAAAAGGCTAAAAATAATGAAAGTATTATTAATAATAAAAAAAAAGCCAACACTCAATAACACCAATTTGAAAATGGCCGCAATGTGCTAACCGTGTTTGAGAAATAAAACATTCCTATAACTCTAGATACATATATAAAAATATCCATACATTCGGTTCAAAGTAAAAATAAAATCATCTTTGATAATGACAAAAAAAGACTAGCCGAAAACGCTCGGACATACAGAACATTCGAACAATTTAACCTAATTTGTGCCCAGAAATGAAAAAAATTTTAAGATAAAATGGAAAATCGTATTTAACATCTTCACCTTTTCAAGGAGGTTTATAGTTCTTGATTCTTGACTATTGTTGTTTTTTTTTTAAATTTTAATGATAGCACAGAGAAGTGGTTTTATGCCTTTCACAATCGCATAAGTACTAAAGAATCAGAAGTAATCTCAGCCAAAATTCGAATGCAATTCGTCAATTTATAACTTATATCTTCCATTCGTGCATGCATTGAATATTGCTGTCACATCTGGTTCGGTGCTTCTGTTATGTATTTCGAGATTCTTGGTAAAATACAAGGAATTTGCAATGGTATTGGTCCTGACCTGACATCTCGGCTTCAATCATTTTCTCATCGCTGTAACATAACTTCACTGTGCCTTTCCTATAAATATTTTCATGGTAATTATTCTCATGATCTTTTATCCTTGGTACCTTGACGTCACGAATTTAAGCGCAGTACTAAATTGGCAGATAGGTCTCATAATTTCATTGTTGGAATTGCAAGTTGTAGCTGTAAGTTCTATGATATTTTTTCTTCTCTCGCATTTCTCGCTTCTTCCGGCTTATTGCTTCCCTGTCAACTTTGATCTTCAAAACTTGAAATGCAATGTTAATCGTTACATTTATCTTCTTACTTCCTCTTCTTTTATTGTTCTCTTTCCTTAATAATGCTTTTGTTTTCTCATATCTTCTCACGGCCCCTTGTGTCTTAGTGGCTTTATTGCCTTGCTTGAGGTGAAATGATGAAAAAAAAAATCCGTACTCTTAATTGTTACATGTCATCATATTGAAATTGTTTGGGAATTTTTTTTTTTTCTTTCTTTCTTTCTTTCTTTCTTTCTTTCTTTCTTTCTTTCTTTCCACCATAAAAGAGAGCGCGTTACGTCTCCCTGATGAACGATGAAAAACAATCAAATTTAAAAGCAATCTATCTATCTATCTATCTATCTATCTATCTCACCCTCTTCATTTTCTATCTATCCAGCTGTCTATCTATCTATCTATCTATCTATCTATCTATCTATCTATCTATCTATCTATCGCACCCTCTTCATTTTCTATCTATCTATCTATCTATCTATCTATCTATCTATCTATCTATCTATCTCGGATGACTCCAACGGTGATATTGGTGCTGTGTACTCTAGTACTATTTGCTGGAGAGTTGGTTTATACACGACATAAAAAACCGCATCCCCACTGGGCTAGACCGAGCAGGATATAAAAAAAAACTGTCAAAGGGAGAATAAATCCTTGCATGGGATCAATGCCCATATTGCACACAGATTAAAGTAACACGTGTATTGGTGCATGTGCACACATAGTATGAGTGCATATACACACATTCCGCTCAAGACTAAATTGAAGGGTATCATGGAGCTGTATCAGTCTCTAGAAGTGTCCCACCATGGTTGGCAGCTAGGGGAGTAACGACTGAACAAAATACATGTGGTTAGAAACAGGCGGAGTCCAAACAAATTTAACCTCCGACAATTTTCTGTAACTCCTGCAGAGACGAAAGTCGTGAGCTTTCACATGTCACCGTTAGAATCTGGTGAAGCAATGTTTATATATATATATATATATATATATATATTCTTTTTATACTTTATTCTTATAGATACAATGAATGTTCGAGTAATTTACTTAAATAAATTGTATCTATAAAAATAACGTATAAACAAAAATATATTTAATAAAGACGAACTTAATACATTTCATTATATATATATATATATATATATATATATATGTTAGAAATTCATGTTAAACAACCTTTTAAAGGTTTACTGTAGTATCATATGGTATATTTATGGGCAAAGGTGCTTAATATCAAGGAAATAACATATGTATATATAATAGTGGATATTGAGGTCAACACTGAATGACGACAGTCTGTTTCATGTTTGACCGCAACATTCAGGTCATATGCGTTCATGCATCAAACAGACTGTCGCTATACGGTGTTTACCTCAGTGTCCCCAATTATATATACACAGGCCTTCTTCCTGATATTGAGAACTTTTACCCATAAATATAATATATCTTATTATATATATATATATATATATATATGATGAAAATATACTTTTAAGTTATGCTATATTTATAGGTTAAAGTCCACATTATCAGGGATAGAGCATATGTGTAGATATAATAGTGGACATTGAAGTCAACATCGAGAGGTGACAGTT